AGAGTTTCCATGAATGCTATATTAGGTACCGGATCCGAGTTGGTTTCGTTTCAATCAAATCATACCAGTGGAGCAGACTCGAGTAAAGTCAGCTGAAGACAAGAAGATAAAGCGACCGCCTGCTATCCGAGACAAGTCAGCTGGTTTACAGGCGCTTGACCTGGTGCAAACCCTTCCATGCTACAATTATCTGAAAAATATGCTACGCGACCTAGGTCTTGAAAGATCGGCAAACGGTGCGTAGTGAGGTTGCGATGGTTATACGCATGGAATATAACCTGGTGCACCATGGCGCGTTGGCCTTACGCCACAGAATTCCTGAACCACTTACGACAGTTTCACTTGGAAGGACTGCTTAAGTATCATTTATTTTTTAAAACTTATTTAAAGTGCGCCAGTTTTTGTAAAAACTTTAGACGAAAACGTGACCTTACAAGTATGCATCTTAACCCTCCTGTTAGAAGAGCCGAAGTCATGGAGAAAGATACGAAGTTATTTTAAAGCAAGTAGACGGAATATAGAAAAGAAGTGCAAGAAGAAGAAGAATGCATTTTGAGTTTCAGAATAAATCTGAGTTATTAGACTTTAGTTCTAGGACCTTTGGTACTTCCGAACGCAAAATTAGTGGAAGGTGTGGCCTCCCGCGCGATGTGTTTGGGGGATGTGATTTGTAGGAGTCATTTCTAGAAAGTAAGTTTAACCTTATGTAGGCTTTGAAAATGAATGGAATTAACACACCCTCCTCAACTGGAGATTCTCCCCTCTGTGATCTACGCAGGTGTTTTTGGTAAGATTATCAATCATAGGCCAAATTACTTGGGACAGTGCTCGCTTCTATCCAGTATTACGACCCCAGTCACGCAATTGTTACTGTTTGGAAACGTATCCAGCGGCTTAGGTGCTCTACGACTTTCGGCGCATACTTTAGCGTACCAGGTGCGACCCTGCTAAAATAATATCTGTTAAGCCGTACGCAAAATAATGTTAACTAATGCTTCCCGTCTTCCAGCACACATTGGATTGCAGTTAGAGGTCTCTTTGGTTTTCATTTTCTGTAGTGAACACAGATCAAACAGTATTCACACCCTATTGTCCGCTTTACTCCTTCACACAGCTGACATGTGGGACGACTCGGATGGTTCACAAATGCCCGAATGGGTGAAAACGGAACGGCAACAGTTCCACGAAGTACGGGATAAAAATCACGATGGCTTTTTGGACAGACAGGAGGTCACTGACTGGCTCTTCCCCAGCGATTACAATCACATTGACTCGGAGGCCAAACACCTCATCGCGGAGGCCGATGATGACAAGGTACTTGCGCTATTTTTACCTGTTTTGGTTAGTATGGAGGTTGGTTTGAAAGTCACTAGAGTTCACGACCTCAGGAGTCAGTATGACTCCTGCTTAGCAATCGTTGTCACATAATCGTTCCGGTTCCGAACAACACCCTTCCGGCTATCCCCCCCCTCTAGGTCCGATTTTAGTGTATCTGTTTACCTCTTCATTCGACCGTGTCGAGTCTGTCGATGTTTTGGATAAGGTTTTGTCTCCAGGTGGTGATTTCGCCCCACAGCACTTTCCTTCGGACATTCATTTTTGATCGGATTTGTCGTCAGTGAAAAGCAGGTGATCAGGGGAAATTGCCTTTCGTCAAACGAGTTGCTCAGCAGCACGATATCGTCGGAACAGTCGGGATCGGAGGCGAGGTGACGCCCAACTTTGACGTCCTCATAGTTGTAGATTGTATTTGGCAGAAGCAGTTCTATAGCATACTTGAAATGGGCTGCCGAAAGGACACCATCTTGTCATACGCTAACGTTTAGGATGAAGGACTCGGGCTTCTTACCTGTACACGCAAACGTTGATTCGCATGAATTAGTGTAAATACGTTGATTAAGTGAATGCGTTTCAGGGACAGACTATTGGTCTCCAAGACCTTCAACCAAACATTTCCGTCTATATAATGGGACGCTGTAGTGAGGTACAAGAAATATATAAACGCCTCTTATGTAAAAAAGTTGCTAGGGGGTTTAGGAAGGGGTGGTTTTTACTTATTCAACCATTTATTGCCCGTAAGACGTTCCTCAGAAGACTGGAAAATTTTTCGATCGGAACCCTTGTCCGTATTTTAATTTGCTCGCTGTCATCGAGATTCTTGCTAACCCGCGTCCTCCCCACGCGACTGATTCCCCTGCTCAGACAAACTCTCATTACGGAGTATGGGAACGGCAAGTCATTACACCTTTTGATGGACTGTGAGCGTGAGAAACACGACCCAGCAACTCGCGACTCACGCGGTTGTCACCTCTTGCGAGGATTTTGGTTTCGCTAAATTTGGAATTATGCCCGGACTTCGTCGAGTGAGCTGCAACCTGGAAGCTAGCATCTTTCCTCCCTAACATTTCCATGTGTTCGGCCATTCGCATCCGGAGTACTCTCCTAGTTTCTACGACGTAATTGCTTTGCCTACGACTGCACCAGATCCGGTAAACTAATTCAGCCGTTTCCTGTCGTAGGACTTATTGGATACAATCCACTACAACAGTG